ACCCCGCCCCTGCGCCGCCCCGGGAGCTCACTGTGTCACCCCTCCTCTGCAGCTGGCCAGAGACCACACCCACGCCACAATCAGCATAAAAACCAGGTAGAAACTCGACTTTATTTTATATTCCTTTAATCATTTCAAATAAAAATGAATTCATTATTAATTTTCAGCTGAGACCTAAACTGACTGCAAGGTTAGAGAATCTAAAGGGTTTGATATTAAACCTTTTTTCTTTTATTCCTACATAACTGGCTTGTTGCCACCAATATGTCGTTTATAGCAAAACAAGTAATTTAATAGCTCTATAAGCTCTGTGGTATCATTAACCTTTTTTCATCAGCTTTTATACCTGACTTGAAAGCTGTTTAATTTCTGGGTGCTACAGCATTCATTTTTTGTTTTGTGGACATTTATGGATGTTTGACCTTCGCTGTACAAAAATGATGTATGCTAACAGTTTGAGGGCAGTTTGTTTTTTATTTGATCTGCTACAAAAAAGAGTGATGAAAAGACAAATATGTCATTCTTGTACTCATCAAAGCTTTCCGAAAGCATTTGAATGGTCATTCAAATCAAATCAAGATGCTATTGTAGTGGAAACTAGGACGTATATATCAATCAGTGAACTTGGTATAAGCAGTTTGGCTCTATAAAAATTAGCAAAGTACTTGTTGTAGCTTACTGAGGAGCATCATTCACAGTTTTATGCCCCAAGTCATGTGAGTCATTCAAAGTTTCCATTTCATATATAGGAGCAATGGAGAAAAAAACAAGGCTGCATTCAGTTCAAAGTAAACAAAATCCTTGAATAATCTTCTTGGAAAATGATATCAAAAAGTCCCTTTTCCACACCATGGGGATTTAAAAAATACAAAGTTTATCTAAGGCATTAGTTACATTGCACCTGTGTCCCAAGAGATTTAGAATGCACACAGGTAAAAAACAAGAAAGAAAGAAAACCATAAGAAAAAGCGTTTCTTCCAGCATCACATTACAATCAGCTCAAAGTGCAGAGATCAGAACCCTGTTTCTTGCATATTCCAGAGATCTGAGGAGACAGAAGACTGCTAGGTGAAAAGAGGCGAGATGATGCAAAGAGGATACTTTTCAAGCAAGTAGGGGGGAAAGTGGGGGTGTGTGTGTGCTATGAATATGTTTTTACTTATTAAATCTATCAAAGATGAATGAAGTGCTGCATCCCATAGCTTCTTTGCCTAGCCATAGCCGCTTTGATTTATTAAATTTACTTCTATGACTTTGGATTCTCAGCTGTGCCGTCGTTTAAATCCTCTTATCCAGTTCAGCTTGTCTCTGCTTGTCATTTTGACTTGTTTTTGTTTTTTTCAACATTTTGAAATGACACGACTACATAATATTTACATATTAATGCACATGCAAACGTGCTTTAATGTATCTGTCCTGTCGATTTTTAATTTTATGTCTACAGTAGCACTAGTGTCAGCTTCCTAGTATTTGTGTTGAATCCTAATAAATGCACCAATAAATTATACCCTCTTTGTCAGCCCCCAGATCCCAGAGGAAGAGAATTACACACAAAGATAGAAAAGGCAACAAACAAACAACAACAGTGCATGTTTCTTCAGGAGAGGACAAACCTGTATATATAACCTGTACAAACCTTAGACTCTCAGTGCATCCAAAACACATTTATTTCCTTTGATATTTCTAACTAATCATGCAAGAAGCATTTATGCCCACCACTGGTTCCATCATAGCCCAAGATTTTCATTTCTAAGGTAACACTGGTGTTTCACACCCACAAGTTAATATAACGTACACACACATTTTGCTGTATTTCATGCTACAATCTATGCACCCATACTCAGTATCAAGTTTGTTAGAAGTGGTGCTGCAGGCACACAAACAAGCAATTATGACTACCCATGGTATATGAATTTAAATTAAGATACAGAAGACTTTGGCTCTTTCTTCATTGCATTAATGCTCTGTATATGCAGGTGTCTTAATTAGAAAGCTCTGCATCACTTCCTGAACTACTTTCTAGCTCAGAGCAACACAAGTGTCAGAGCTGCTGCTTTCTCTTATTCAAGCACAAGGTCATGACACACCAATTAAGGCAATAGTGAGAAAAGTCAGGCACTCCCAACTTGTCGTGTATGGATGCTTGTAAAGTATGGTACATTTGGGTTTCTTAAACATTTTCCCCCCAAATCTAACAAAGTACTTAGAAATGTGAAAAGAATCAGCAGCTTATTTGTTTTATTTATCCAGGCAGCTGATCTCGCCAGATTAAGAATCACTTCTATGAACATATTCTGGGCCCAGACAGTGAACATTAACTTTGTAAGAATTTTGATGTTGTGTGAAAGCAGACGAAATCTCCACGATCACTGTTCAAATACAAAAAAGTTCAAATACAAAGCTCTTAAACAGTCTCCTTCTGACTCAGGGCCTGCCTGGCAACCTCACTAATGAAAGGCCTGCTGCTCTTTATTAGATGATAATTATGTTTACGTATAGAAAATGCTCCTTGGGTGTTGCATTGATGCAACATCCAAAGAGCACATGGAATAACGATTTATCAATTGTTGCTTTGCTAATGACTCACAGCAAGAAGCTCTTAGGGTGTGCTTGTGCAGGTTTTTCTCTGGGAGCTCAGATTAGTGAAACCACCCCAAAAACAAACCAAACAAAAAAACATGCTAGCTTAATGTTGCCATCATCAACCCAGGACAGGCTTGCAAAAAAAGATTCTTTATCTCAAGAGCTCACTTCCTGGTTAAACAAAAGGTTAACCTTGGTTAAAATTGGCGATGCCGGTGAAATAGATTGGCAATAATTGACTAACTGCGAAGAAGACGCATGATCTAATGCATTTGTAGGCATCTGAGCTTTGGAAAAAAAGAAAAGAAACATGTTTCGCAAGTGACATACATTTATTAATGTTACCTTTATTCTTGTAAAATGATTAGGATGACACAATATTCCTTAAAGGTATGTAGTCTAACGAGAGATGACCCATTTCTTTAAGTGCAACTCTTTCCATCATAAAATTAAGTTGTGCTTTGAGTGTCAGCTGTGAGATTCGCATTCACATTCACTGAAACTCTACATAATTTTAGAAATATATTGCAAGCCTATCCAAGAACATAGAAGCATGGGTACAGTATAGCCATCCATCCATCCATCCATCCATCGTCTATCACTTATCTGATATGGTAGCTCGTAGCCCATCCCAGCTACCATAGGGTGAGAAGTGGGGTGTGAATGTGAGGGTGAATGCTTGTCAGTATAGCTGTATATATGCAACACATATTGTAGACATGCAAACCTATGTGAGATCTGTACCTCAAACTTCAGTGAGCTATCTCAAATAAAAGTTTTGGTATCAAACATTTACTCTCTGCAGTCTAAAAAAACGTGGCAGTATAAAGTTTGTAGATTCCTCCGTCACGGTGAACACAGTCCTAATGAAAATGTCTGAGGTAATTGCAAAACCTATAACTGCTAACCTGCAGCTGGTCACATTTGCATATCAGACCTCTTAAATCAGATGTACAGCTGAAGTATGTAGACTAATGTAATTGCTGCCTTGAGACATCTCTTAGTGCCACTGTCATAAACAGCTACTTTTACCTTTAAATGCTAGGCACGGGATATGTTCTTTTTCTGCATGAAAACATCGACTCAGGGGAACTAACAAAGTTGTAAAACCTAAACTTTAAAGATGTGCAACTTTACAACAAATAAAGTAAAAGTAAAAGCAAAAATACTACAAAGCATTTTATGTTTCACTGTACTGTTTAAACTCTACAACTGTGCTTTCTAACCGTCTAATCCACACTAGAAAAACCATGCATGGATAAGATGACGTGGAGGTGTGCACAGACAAATACTCTGTTCTTTTCAACAGATATCTCTATGCTGTCATTAGCCAAATAATTAAATTATGACAAACACACAAAAAAATGTGTCTGCTGTCAACTGCTTATCCTCCAAGAAAAAAGCCATACTGTTGGTTGAGGTGTGTGTGTGTGTGTGTATGTGTGTGGGCTCAGTTCTCGCAACATTCTCACACCAGGTGGGGCATAAGCCCCTCCCCCAGGCCCCCTCCAATGCCCTTGCCCTTTATGTCATGCCTGGTTTGTCTGCAGGCATTCAGCGGAGTTGGAAGCCTTTTTTTCTGACCTTTAAACCAGCCAACCGGAGCCATAACTGCCACTTTTTGTACCATGCTTAAAAAAAAAGCCAACGATCTTAGTTCAAAAACCCATCAAAGAAAATGTGGGGCTTTAAATTGTTTTGCCAAAGTTTCTCCATTCCGTTGCCATTTTAATGTATTTTCATATTACTACCTATATCAATCATTATGTTATGCTCTGTTGACTTCCAGTCATCTGAAACCCATAGGAAAAATGTTTCCTCCAAGAATGAAAACCTCTAAAGAATGTCAGTTTCTATAATTCAGTAATGGCTTATGTTCTTATACACTAAGTTAGTAAAGCTGTGTAACTAGAGACTGTGATGCTCTGGTCAACAGGGTACAGCAGATCTACTAAGTACTCAGTATAAGTAACAAATCAAATTGATTTAATTATGGTAAAATAAACAGCTACTGTTCCGTTTTGCTTTTTGTGAGCTACAACTACATCAACTAATCATTAGCATTGCGGCAAAACTTTATATGACCGCCCACTGCAACCACAAACTCACTGATATTTCTATCATCTTGATTGACTACTATAAATTCCAGACACAAAATCCATGTTTAAAATCAAATGTTTGGATTTAGCAAAGCAAACAGATTAAAAGTGAACGTACTTTCAGCACGCAAAATAAAATAAGAGGAAACTATTAACTAGATAATTGGCAATATTTGCTTTAGCGAATGCGATTTTGTTTTATTGTTGTATATCAAGTTAGAAAAATCGCTGTCAATCACCGGATGCAATAAAGACTGCGGCGCTTCTGTTTGAAATCTTAATTATGGTTTTGTTTGGTGTCTAAAATTGCATTCTTACCAAGCGTCTTCTTTCCTCTTCAACGGTGTTCAACAGCTGCGAGAACTCTTTGAATGACTGGGCTGAAACAGAATAAGACATATCGGCATATTAAAATGTTTGGTCAATATATATAAGTATGTATGAGTCCCCATTTCCCAATATATTCACAGCTGAGAGAGTACACACAGTGAACTGGGCTGTTGACACAGTCACATGATTAAAAAAAACGTAAGCAGAAAAAAAAGCATAGCCATTAAACGTCAGCTGGTCCTGGCACCCTACGAGCACTGGAGAGGCGCGATGCTAAAATGTTTATTTGCACTGCAGCTTCAGACCTTTCAGTGCAGTACACTTTAGAACCTAATAAAAGCATGCAGCTGTCCAATTTAAGCCAAGACCAGCAGTAAAAAAGAAAGGAATAATAAACCAACAAAAAACAATACTTCAATTGAACCCACTGATTGCTTCCCTTTATTTTCTCCCACAGCTAGGGTTTGCAATATACTGTCACAATACAGGAGAGACTGATGTGATAGAGATATGTTCCTGCCATCAGGGTTATACTTCAGTGGCTTATATTACATTTTGCAGGGCCAGATGAATTCAGCATACAATGCATCGAGGCTTATCTGACACAGAGCTGTGCCTTGATAGCTTCACAGCTTCATTAAATATAAGGCCAGATACAACGTGGCCTGTCTCGGTCAGCCCCTGTGTCACCCAATGTCTAGCCATTTAGCAGCGGTCGAGCTGCTCTGCTTGCCAACACAGTAACATCATTATCAACCCCGACAGCCTGGCATAGGGACCCATGCATCATCTTAGACACTTTGGTCCATTTACACACCAAAGCTTTTAAAGACTGGGGAGCAATGATTTTGTGCCAGTGATCCTGCAGGCAGGCTGGCCTCCTATTAATGCTACCAGTTCCTCTATCAACGGTGAAAACCTCTCAGGGGGTAAAGGGCACAGCTGGAGCCACTGATGGGACAAGATTAGACTGTGAAGAAAGGAAATGGGAGTCAAAGTGGGGTTATAACTTGCATATCATTCACTGCTAAGTGGAGGAAAGGCAATAAACCCGATGAATCACTAAATTAAATAAAGTCTAGTACCTTAGGAACGGATGAATTGGGAAGATAAGCTTTTTAAATGTACATTTTTCTGCACACTGTAGCTAAACAACAAGAGCTGTATGTTTACAATCAATTTTATGTGCTTAAAATGATGCTTTTTCTGTTCCATATTTAATATTTCGGAGCTGGATTTTTGCTCATCTCACTTATTCCACATTTGAACAGTTCTTGTCGACTGAAGGATTGACCTTCTATGAGTTGGGGCTGTAACTTTTCTAAAGATTTAAATTTCTATAGCCACATCAATCTTTTCGCCCCATTCTGGCTTGGAATGTGAATGTCACTGCAGGAAGTCATAGACTGAAATCAATAGAAGGTCAGATGAACCTGTCTGGCAGCACATACAGGATCCCAATGTTATGTGGGGAAGTAAGGAGCATCAAAGTGAACTATACCAATACTGCATCAAGATCATGGCTGGCATTCACACAAGGGTCTAGCTATGTCAGTCAGAAAGTTCAGTTTCATTGATGACTAGATTGATTTCAACAGGCTGTTTTTTCCTCAAATAGTAATCGTGGCCTTTTCTCCCCGAGGTGGTGAATGAACCGAGTAGTATTGCAGGAAGGATACTGAAGACGTGGACACAAATTTGCCAACGTCTATAAATAACAGTCCACAAATGCTTCCCAACACGTGGCATGAAACTGTCATCACAACCATTTCTCCTGTGCCAGTTTCATGCATCGCCAAAAAGGTTCAGTTACAGGTGCGCTGCTAAAACATCCATTGTTGAGTCTAAAATCATCAGATTCTTAATTACAAGGGAAGTCAAGGGAAGGGTCTCTAATTAAAGTGTGCTTGATTCTAATGAGGTTTAGATTTGGATGTGGATTTTTCCAATAAATATAATTGGTCTCCTGCACCCATGGCCATCACACAGTAACAACAGCTTTGTGAGGGAAAAAAAGGACTATTCATTTTGCATTCAGATGAACATTACAGCCTGTAGAGGAGGTCGATATCTAGTCTAGCCCTCACAGATGGACAGTAATTCAGCAGTCTACAGCTCCACAGAGCGAAAGACTCAAGCTGGGGATAATGAGCAGTGCAAAAAACGGAGACGAAGAGGAGGCCAAACTGGGAGTCATGCCCATTAGAGCCAACGAGGCCCTCTGCACAGCTGCTTTCATATTCCTCTTGGAGGCTAGGAGGTTTGCACCTCCATTAATCTCTGACACTGATCACAATTAGTCCCTTTGATCTCATATAGGCTTGAAAAGATACAGGAAAAGCATCATAAGCAAATCAATAGCATTAATTATACATGCACAGCAGACAAGCTTAACATCCATACACAGCCAAACCCCATTCCAAGATCACGCTGGATTTTATTTGAAAAAATGAACAGCATTAGTGTTACAGCATTTTCTTTCTTCGTTAATTACTTTTACTAATATAAAGGTTAACTATAAACAAATCGTTTGAGCATGTGACCTTTACAAGACAAGTGCCCGCATGATACATGTGGGCACAGCAACTGTTTTCCCACGAGAAACTAAAACATAAAAGAAAAATCAGATTAAAAAAAATCTGATTGATGTTATGCAAGAGATGAAACCTTAGCAGGAGATGAATACTCTGTGCCTTGTTAAACTGGACTCACCGATGTTCATCTCATCATCTGTCTCTGCATCTCCTATGCACTCAAACTGGAACTCCTGCAGAGACTGGGAGAACTTCTGGACGGCAGCAGAAAGATCTGGAAAATCAGACGGGCTGAGCGTCAGATGAGGCATACCACAGATGAAAAGCACACTGAAGACACATGAATCAAATTTTATTGTACATTATAAAGAAAAATGTAATGTAATTTAATGCAAATTTAATGTGACCTCCTTGGACTATACGCAATAACCATATATAATTCGCAGACTTTGCTTTTGCACTAGATTTTACTTTATTTTGCTTTTCCACTTTCACAAAAATGGGAACAAGCAGATGCATGTTGCTGAAAACAAGACACACTTCGGGCAAAACATATTCTGCTGTTCCACATCAAAAAAGTTTAGTGGACACAGAGACAAATTACTGGTTTCTGCTCTGTTGCTGCATTTATTGCAGTTCATATAACAGATCTTTTTGCCAATTATGAGCAAAAGCCTTGTGCCCCATCCCTTCCCACACAATAACTGGAAATAGATTTTGCAACACCTGGTAAAGGGTGCCAAAATTTTGCTCCCAGAACTTGTTGTCAAAGCGGAAACAAAGCAGAACCCAGAACAGCTACAAGTTCTATAAGTTGAGACTGACGTGTGGATAGTCAAATGACAGAAATTTCTTATGGTTATACCATATCAAGATAACCACCACATCCAATAGCATTGCTTTAATTATTGTCAAGTTGCAAGGAATTATTTCCCCGGGCACCACAGCTGCATCATAAAACATCAGCATATAAATAGGCCTAGTTTTTATCTTATTAATGGGCAACAATAAATATTCAAAACAGACAAAAGTCAAGTCTTTTAAAATCAACTGCTCAATGGTTTCTTTTGAACACAAACTAAATGAAAACATTCATTAAACAGCCTTTATTCAGTTTTTTGAAAGGCTTTCTTACATTAGTAGGAGGCAAAAAATGCTTCTAAAAGTATTGTATGGATGAGATAGATCAATGGTTTGTTCATGTGTATGTGTCTTTGTATTTGCCAGCTCGCTGAAGTGTGCTAGTGAATGAGTAAGTATGGTCTGTAAGCCTTTAAAATAGCACGTGGTGCCTTCAATTAAGAAAAGTGAGCATCTTAACATTCTGAGAACTGAGGATTGACCTGTGCTTTGATGCAACGTTTCCTGTTGCTGAAAAGAGGTGTTCTCATACTGTACATATTAATAATAATGGTAACAATAATTTAGTGTCCAGCCTAACAGCCCAGGTCAGTGGCTCAGTTTTACTGACCCATGTACATTTTTACTGGCATGCAAAAAAAGGCCTCTAAATTCATTTCTACTGCAAGTCTCCAAGTCATCAAAGGAAAGACTCTGCATCAAGGATAGTTTTTAGTTGAGTTATTCAAGTTTTTCGATAAATCACTGCAGCCCTACTACTTCTACAGATATTTTCCTTTTAAACATTGGAAAACTGACAATAGCATAAAGCTCGACAATTCATAACAGCAGATAACAAAATAATGCACTTTTATGAACTGCTGTCTGTCCATGTACACGCCCACTGACAGTCACACATTTGCAATACTTACTGGTGCCTGATCATAATACCTGGATCTGAAAAAATAAGCCCAGATGAACTGCCTAACCTTTGTCTCAAAAATGATAAAGCCCACACAGAAAATACAAATCAATAGAACAATTCCACCCTTGGATACTCCCCACTGCTAGGTATAAATCTAGGATTTTATTGTATTCTACAGTTTAACTTGATCAAACGTCTTTTTTGACAACCTCCAGAGAGTACTGTCATTTTTTGTACTCCAAAACCTTCCAGCTATGAAAACACAAGTGCGTGGACATTTTTTAAAAGATTTAAATGAGTCACAAGAATTAAACAATACAGCAGGAGAATTTTATAGTATTTTTTTGTATGACAACACTATTTATAAGCCTTAGTAATAACCACTGATGAATAGAAGCAAGCTAAAGTCCAATAAAGATTGGAGCCATATTTACAAATGTGGCAATGAGAAACAGAACACCGCAGCATAGCAAATGAACTGGTCCAAATATGATCCAATAACAAAGAAAATTGATTCAAGCTGCAGTCAGAAAGTTACAAGGCTGACCTCCTGCAATCATTGTTAGAGCCATAGGCAGCACAGTCGTAAGCTCTTTGTCTGGGTCTCTAAAATTTGTATGCATAAAACTACAAGTTTATGAACAAGTTTACTTAGCTTGTAAAGTCCTCTTCATACAAAGTATTATACCTTTGACTTAATAGCAATGAGCCAGAACTAGCCAAGAGCAATTTCTCTTTGTTTGGACTGATGAGTCAACCAGAGTGTAACATGTCCAGTCAAGAATTAGAGGTGCTTCAACAGTCTCTGATCTAATACTCTCAATGGGGAAAAAAAGACTAGGTTATCATTTCCTGAACCCTACCTGCCTTATATAAAACCTCCCACTTTCTCTTTGATCCATGGAATAAAGAAAAGAACTAAATGGAAACAGACAGACACCTCACCATGAGTTTAACTTCTGTTGCTGCTTTTAAAAAGAAGTTGCACGAAACTATTTAATAGCTGATTAATGTTTTTTTATATCTACATTTTTCTGCCTGCCTTGTCAACAGTTTTCAAAAGTTTATGTGGGATATTAAAAAATGTACTTAATTTCCCCAATTAGGCTACATCAACTTGCAACTTACTATTGTTTCATTTTTTTTCCTCCCTCAAATAACAGCTTGGATGAGAGCTACACAAAAATTCTCCACATTTTCACACATTAAAAGACATACACACCTTCACATATACACCAGGGAGTTTTAAACTGCTGGACAAGACAAAAATAAAGAGTACTCAGTTAAAATCTGGTTTCCATCTTACACACAGATGTACACTATAAACCAATGATATGTATGGTAGAAATCAGGTCCTTGATTCAAGAGAAGATCTAATTACAGTTACAACTGAAATCACAAGCAGGAAAGAAAGGCAGCCGTTTTTTGCATTTAATGAAAGGGTCAGAGTAACTACAGTGATGACGTCTATAAAGCTAACCGAGCGCATGACTCACTTATAATTGTGGGCCAAGTAATGAAGCTGCATAGACACCAGAAGAGTTCTTATCAATCTTCTTATTTTTCTCTTTGCTGTAAGAATCTATGCCAACCAATCAAATTGACTGGTTTGTAATTCCGAACTCCAACTGGGGGCAGTCACTTCATTTTAATGTCTACTTCTTGAGCATGCCAAGATGCGTCAAACTTAACTTCTCAATGAATTCAGTAACTTCTATCTGTGTGTTCTGTGGTTTACTTAATAATCATTCATCTGATCTTCTTCAGACTGAGGAAATTCCTGTGGACCCAAGTCAGTCGACTTTTAAGTATAAAAAGTATTTCTGGTAAAAATCTTTCATTTACCAGTACTCCTCCACTCTGCGCTTTCTGTGGGGGGAGGGAATTACAGACGGGTTGACACAGGCAGGAGAGACAGGATAAAAGGAAGTGCATCCATAAAAAGCAGGAAAAAAGTGAAGAAGTTCTCAGACTGAATGCCTAAATGAAACAGGAAAAAATAAATCAAAAGACGTGAATACAATATTTTGTATTTGAATATGCTCTGTAAAGGACGACTTCAGTCACTCCCTCGTATTGGTGGATTAGTGATTGTGGAGGAACCTGATAGCTGCGCTAAACTGCACAGCCATGTTATAATTAGATGCAATCTCATGTATGCCATATATGGCAATGAACACTGCTGCGTATATCTGTATATATGTGGCAGTGTTTATTGCATTTTTCAACAGCTTTTCATCGAATCTACTTTACCCATTATAATGTTAAACTTTGGCTCTGCTCCCCACCAGAACAAGTACCATACAAGTCAAGCTTCTGCAGCCTTGTCACCGACATTAACAAGCAGCAGAAACAGCACAAAGAAAATTGGAAGTGATCATATTATACATTTTAGAAGAAAAGGGTATTGCTAAATAATGTTCAATGTGTCTGCTTATAATTAGTAGCGCTTGCATCTGGTAAAAGTGCGGGGGTGTCAAGGTCAAGATATGTCAACTAGTCATGTCAGCCTAACTGACTTGCCATCATAACTAGTCCTGATAATCTTCAAGTTAAGCCTTAGAAGCATTATGCAGCTAATTGAAAAAGCCTTACTTTTGACATGATCACATGAAGTTGTTATTGGGAAGTACTTGGCTCCCTCATTCCTGCTTGCAGCTGTTATTTTTACTCTGTTTTTAATTGTGCAAGTGAAGCTAATACGTTTCATATCTCAGTTACGTAAAGGTTAACGTGTGGGCCTGCTGAGGTGAAATTTTAATAATGAGTGAAGATCGGGCACGTGAGGGAATATTTTCACATTTCAACTTTCTTTTGGATTTATAATTAAAAACAAAACAAGGCAAATATTCTAAAATGCCTTTTGCCTTTTATTTGCCAGCTCACTCAGTTCAAATGTATGCAGTGTTCTCATATCTATTGTTGGCAATGACTCACTAATTGCTTCTTACCTTAATTATTCTCTCTTCAACAGTCTTTACCTAAAAAACCCCTCAAAAGTAAAAAAAAAACAAAAACAAATTGACACAGATACAGTATATGGGGCTAAAACTGTGTTTATGTAATAGACTCATTAAAAATATAAAAGACTCATTAAGTACTATTAAGTACCAGCGGTTTTACAGGTTTAAAGTGTAAATGGCACACGTAGGTTTATGATTACATGCTTGGATACAGTTTGTTCTTATACTTGAAAAAGCTTTGAACTTTGCTCGTTAAGAAGGCTCCAAATTATCTTTAATACAATAAAAAGTAAGTTTAAGAGCAACCATCAAGTTACAAAATTGCAAACCTTTGAGTCTCATTTTCTGCTGCAAATTGCCTGTAAGAGGATGCGTGACAGTTTATAAAATATATAGTGCCTACCCAGGAAAAAATAGCGTATCCTCACTAAAAGGGTCTAAACTTCACAGGAACAGAAATTGCTTGACAGGTCTGATATTATTCTAACCCTAACAGTCAGCACGGATTCATTCATTTTCAATGTATTTAAGAAAGATAACTGCAAG